ACTTGCGTAAAACAATAAACGAAAGTTCAAATTCGACGAAGAAATCAAAACATAAAGCGCAGAATCGTCACATTTAGATAACACTTATCTTCGAAAACAAAAAAGTGGCATCATTTGAGATGTAAAAAATTCTCTAGCATCCACGAAATGTTATTGAGCTTTATGATGTATCTTAAATTACAAGATTATATGAACATGAACCGATACAGAGAACACGAAAAACAAAGAAAGAGTTATCTGTTTAAAGATAAGCCTTTAGGGGAGGTCGGACATTATTTTCGACTGCGCCATTACGTTTTCGTTTCTTCTTTTTTTTTAATCCATTGTTTATATACCAAAAAAAAAAAAAAAAAAAAAAAAAAGTGAGATAAGAAAACAATTCTCAATACATCGGGAACACTTTTACAAAACTTATTTCTAAACTGGGATTGCCGCTGTGCAGCAAAAAATTTCCTATATTCGTTGCTGAATGAATGTGAAACCGAATTAAACTTCTACATTGCAGAATAAAATGGGATACAGTGGATCTAGAGCAGCGGTCCCCAAACTTACAATGCACGTGAACCCTTTCTTAAAACAAAAAACTGGCCATCAACGCCTAAGTGACTCTATATAAGTGTGAAATAGAAAAATGGTAAACTTAACTTTGGTGTCTTGATGACGTATGGTGACGTATAAATAAAATATTTTGATACTTAAAGTAGTATTTATTGAACTTATAAGGTATTTCTCCCACCTTCTTAGCAGCCCTTCTTAGTGCAGTGGTCAGTACGCTGGGCGCGTATTCCAGAGGCCCGTTCCCGGCGAGGGATTTTTTATCTCTCCTGCTTCCAATTAACCTAATGTCTCTACAGTGGCGCCCTAACTAAAAGGTCGTGAATGATCATTCTTCGCCACCAGGATTTGGCAAATGAGTCGCTTAATCCCCAGTCGCTCTTTAAAAGGAGTAGTATATAAGGTATTTCTCCCGCCTTCTTGGCATGCCTCCATAGTGTAGTGGTCAGCACGCTGGGCGCGTATTCCAGAGGTCCGTGGTTCTGTTTCCGGTGAAGACGTTGATCATTTTTCAGTATTCCTGCTTCAAAAAATATCCTAATGTCTCTACAAAGTTATAACTTTTGTTTTAAAGCACAAAAACATATTTTCTCCCTAATGATATGAGTGAACCTGCCATGATGATATGAAATTATCTATGTTCGGCTTTATGTTTGTGAGTAACATTCGTAAGTCTCTATAAGTCCTAACATTCGATTTATGTTTTTCGTGATGAGGCCTATAACTACACTAAATCCATGTTCTACTAAATAGGAAGTTACAGGAAAGCAATCAGCAACTTTTTTACAATATGGAAAACTAGTATCTATTTCTAAAATTTCTCCTGTATTAGTATGGATTCATAATGTGAGTATACTTGTCAAAGGGTCTAATAGCCAATCGGAAATAGCCAAGTGAACAAATCAATAAGTTTAAATTAAATGCAGGAAAACATGCGTATAATATAATATTCGTGCAAGGGAGTTATGTGTTGTACACATCAAGATTTGTTTAAACATATTTGCATTATTTTCTTATTTAAAAGTGTTTTAATTTATTTTATTTTATTTTAATTTTTTTTTTTAGTCCCAACCATTTTTAATAGTCTATAATCTGAAATTTTCAAAACGGAAAACTATTTTTTTCCCACCTATTTTGCACTTTTGTTTTAGATCACTTATATTTATAGGTCCTATATATACCCTTTTAATAATAAATTCATCTGCGTTTAACTAAACAAATCTAATCCCTTAATTAACCGCTAATTTGTTTGAATTTTAAAAACTCTTAATTTTTGTACCTCAGATGATTTAAAAGAAACCATAATTGCAGCCTAATGTATATTTAATAAAAATAACCAATTGTACATATATTTTTGATAGAATAAACTGATTGGGAATGTTGGTTGGTTAAATTATATAAGTTGGCGATATATGGTTCCGTTTCAATTATAAAATTAGCAGCCATTTTATTCCTAAGAGACTCATTTTTATAAGCTTTTATTTAGTTCACTGTGAGTGGAATTTTGTCTTCGATTTTTAATCTATTTCCTGATAAGATATCGAGTTGAGACTTACACAGTATGCACACTGTTTGTTGATAAAAATGCATTGTGGTGAAGTGATTTTTTTAAAATTCTACTTAGATTTTTTTTCATTTAATGTTTAAAGGATTTTTCGCACATAACTTTGTTTAACAAACAAACTAATAATATCAGAAATTTACTGTTTTTACCATCGAATACAGCGAAAAAAATGATTTCAAAAAAAAACTTGTATGAAAATTTTAACTTAATTTCTGAATTTTTTGCCGAATTTTTAAAAATCGCTCGATTTTTTAGAGAGAAAATTTCAGCATCTGAAATGTGTCGGATATAAAATTTCGAAATTTTGTAAAGACAAACTTTTCGCCTTTATTTGAAACAAGAATAATAAAAATATTAATTGAATAATTTTCTATACTTTTAAAAAAATATACTGCAGTCTGAGGCAGAAGTGGAAAAAGACATTTATTTCGAAAAAATTCTTTTCGAGTTTAGCACGCTTAATGATGAAGGTTGCCATCACGGCTCACGAATTGACGATATTCGTTTTCACTTCTTGTGCGAAGTAAAGGAAGTACTGAAATCGCGAAAAATTTCGGGTATCATATTTCAACGAAAATACCCATTTCGACCGCTCTTGAATCCATTTGAGCGATGTTTTTACGTGACATCTGTACGTATGGACATAATAAAAAACTCTTTTTCCCAAAATGGATTGTAATAAGATGGATTCAGAAGTTTTTTTTTTTTTTTTTGCGACATCTATACTTACGTACGTATGTATATATCTCGCATAACTCAAAAACGAATAATCTCAGAACGTTGAAATTTTGTGTACGGGACTACTATAATATACAGTTGTATATCTCCCTTTTTGGTTGCAATCGGTCGCACCAGAAGTATATAAATATATGTATATACTCACTCTGTTACCTAGCTCGTTGAGCTCAGTTTTTTTTTATTCTTATATGTTGATAAATTGTTCATTTTTTGTTTTAAAAGCAATTGAATTGTGTTGTTTTTATGTTACAGATAAGGCTTCTATAGCTTTAGTTAATCTGCATGAAATAGCTGTATAATTATCAACAATTTAATTTTCAAAGTTGTTTAAATGTCACTAAGCCCAACGTAGCCGCCATTTGTTTATATTTGAAACTTTAGTAGAAGAGTGAATTAAGTCAATTTCTGCTCCTTCGGTGTCTTTTTGCCGAATACGACCAAATGTAAACTTTCAGTTTTGTGTACCGAAAAATCTGCCTTATTGCCCGTTGACCGAATTGCTTGTTTTGTCGTAAAAGCTATAACTTTAATTGTAAAAATTGTTTTTTTTAATTGCTTTAATTGCATCTGGTGTTTTATGTTTTTCTATATTTTATAATTTTTAATGAAGGTGTTTTGAGTTTTTATGTATTTTTGTCGTGCCGTAAAGTAAGAACTGAATTAACTGAATGAAAAATATAGAAGGTTCATTAAAAGGAAAGCCGAAGACTTGAGTAAACCGTAAAATTAACTTTACTTAAAATTAAAAGATAAAATATAAATGCATGATGATAAAGCCGACGTAACATTTCGGCCGCGAACAAGCAGGACCAGTGAAGTAAAAGTGTAAGTGAGTCTCTCGTTAGACAGACTCGATATTATACCGAAATATTGCGAAGAGCAACGTTGCTGTTTCGTGAATTCAAACCCTAGGGGACATGACGCATAGAATTCTGGACTCTAAAATTCTGGACGCATAGATTCATTGTCCCCTTTGGTCTTGCTCCTTCTGGTACTTCTCTCCTTTTCCTTTACTCCGTTTTCTCTTCAGAGATTCATTGTCCCCTAGGGGACAATGAATATATCAGATACCAAAGTATCTGACAAGTAAGTCTCTTCGGCGAAAAGTTCAAGTCTTTATACTCGCGCTATAACGAGTGCGCACAGGTACAGAGCAGCAAACATGGTTATTGCATGCAAAAGTTTAAATACAAATATTCTTTCGTCGGAATGCAAATACTCCGCCCCAAGTTTAAACGAAATGCAGCAAAAAATGTGTATAATTTAATAGACCGTACAAGGATGCCATGTGGTGTATGTACACAACAGATATTTTCATTTAGTTTCAAGTAAAATGTTCGTTGTAACATTGTTATTACATCTAATTTCCAAAACTGAACATTCAAAGCGTCTTCTTCGTTCTCTGAATGGCGTTCAGTTATTTTTTTATTTCATAATTTTCTTATAAATTATTGCTTGTGTTTTAATAATAACTAAAAATTTCTTCATTGATAACACGTAATTGAGACTAAAAACAGAAAATAAGATACAATTAAAAAAATTTTTTAGACAATAAGCTTTTATTTAAAATGAATATGATAATGTACTAAAATGAGAAAAATAATTTACCATATTGTTTAATGGAAATAATAGATTAAATAAAATATTTTATTACAGTCCTTATGAATTAAATAGTAAAAGATTGGTCGTTTCATTTCATCACTGCAAGTGCATAAGCCAACCACTCGGATTTTATTACCCTGGGAAAGATATTAAAATCTCAAGAATAATAAGTTTTATGTTTCCGAAAATTTCATCGTAATGGAAAAAGCTTCTCATTTTTAAAGTACCATATCACAGGCTTGAATTCGCTTTGGTGTTTATAACACTTAATTCCTTGCTTAGCTTTGATAAAAATTCTTTCCTCCAGCTTCTCCAGAAATGCCGAAACAGTGCTTGGAGCTGCAAGAAATAGAAAGAGGATGTTGATGTTAGCTTTGGGTTAAGCATTATGGTCACTTGAATCTAGTCGCTCCTTTTCGGAACTCGCTGTTTTTTGTACCGATCAGTGTTGGAAAGAAGATTTGTAAGTCACTAAGACTTGTAAATTTAAGATAATTTTAGATCATAAAATCATTAAACACTGTCTTTTTTTCTTTCACAGGGCTATGACGCCGAGGCGAATAAGACTAATGATCTTTGCCTCTTGGTTGTGGGCCGCCCTTTGTGCTACGGGACCTCTCATTGGATGGAACCGCAATGTGTATAAAAAAGTTAGTAAATTTTGTTCTTCCTGTGGTATAGTTGAACTTTTTTCAAATCACTAAAAAAATTAAATTCCAATCATCTGTAATAATAACCGTACGAAATTCCAAAAAAAATTCTTTTGATTATTTTAATCAATATTACCAAATAATAGATGCTAATAAATTAATAACGAACTAGATGTCAGTCTACATAGGTGATTCAAATTAAAACTTAGCGACATTACTTCTCTACAGAATGTGCAATTAAATTCCGAAAGGTTGTTCGATTGATTAATCAGTCGACAGCAGGAATTATCCTTCTGGATCAAAAATTAACCAACATGTAGCATTATGATGCTGCATCATTGAAGATGGAAGAAGCGTCAGCGAAAAAATATCCGCCTAATTGTCGACTCTACTAGAGTATTAATCTGTTATGAGCGTTTCAAGTAATGACGGTATTAAAGAAATGGGAACTCTTGCAGGATGATAGCGCTGTATGGAGATTCGTATGTCCACTTCAGCAAGTGTATAAATGATGTAGGAAGCTTAGAGACATAACTTCTGCACAGAAGCTCATTCCATCAGCAAGAAAAGTCAATTTGTTCACTTTTGAGATGCGAATGGGGTCATTTCGGAGTATTGTATGGAAATGGTAGTAACAGTGATCAATACTTCTTATGCAGACTTGCAAAGAGCAAAGGACAGATTTTTCTGGCACGGGGTAGCCAAAATAAAATTGGCTCCCAAAATTGTTTTCGGAATTTAGTGAAAACATATTCTAAACATTAAAGCGGTAATTAGAAACTGGGAGATATGTAACTGGGTGTGAGATTAGCATGTGTAGACACGCGATTGCAACCAATAATCTGAGTGAGATGTGTGGGCAATGAAAGTGTAATGAACAGTGAAATTGTACGAAATGGGCTGTGTAGCGAATAAAAACACCGACTATACAAAAAGGATTCGAGCGAATGACAGCCTGCAAAAATGTCTGACAAAATTTTCAATGCTGGTTACCTTTGCCAGTAGGAGTAAGAGACCGTCGTGCTAGAATGTTATTAAAAAGATCTCCATCTTTTCCTTATAAATTTTCTGCTGTGCCTGAAGATAAATTTGAATGTGTTCAGTTCTATTAGCTGTTTTTGAGTGAAGTGCATTCAGAACTTTTGGATCTTCTGCTTTTTAATTTTTTCGGATAAGGCCTAGTTCAACCTGTCCGGGTATATGAACTCACAGAACTTGCAACATTATGCATCAACAAATCCTCATCAGTGCATTCAACAGCCGTTTCATAGTCTTAGGGTCGATAGTAAGTTGTACATTCTTTGGTGCGCTGTGTCTGGATTCCGTATAACAGCACAATTCTTTCATCAAACTGTTAATGCTCTCCTGTATCTCCAGAATGAGTTTAATCCATTTGTGGATTCAACCCACAGAAGAAGAATGATTTATCGGTATTTTCAGAAAGCTAGAGCAATAGCATACCTAACACTTTAAACCTTGACGTGAGTTCATAGGGTGTTCGGTGAGGAAAGGACAATCAGAAGGGGATGTAAAATCTTCTGGCTTGATCTCTTTTCTTGTCATTGTTACCGCTGTAGGACAAGTTAAAGGGTCAGGTACACTCAAATAAATTCTACATACTGGAAGAGTTACAGAAGAACAATGAAAAAGCTACTACTGCCATCTCTCAGAGAAAGCTGCTTCGCGTGCCTCACTGTTTGATAAATGTTGCATAATGCTGCATTGATGTAAACAGTAACCATCTCCAACATTTTTTGTAAACAGCAGTTCTCCTGTTCATTAACAACGATAAATATAGTGTCAGAAGTATGCCTGTACACATTTTCCGAGATAGTTTTATTATGTCCACCTTATATATTATTAAGCAAAACAATGCTCGACAGCATACTGCTCGTTTAATGATTGCGACAATCAACTAAATACCTCATAATACCTAATATAATCCAAATACCTCAAGCAAAATCGCCTCCAATGAATTTCGTGTGTTCTAGTGGCTGAAAAATGCGATGAAAGACAAGCGTTTCTAGCTGATGAAGAAGCGAAAACTGCCGTAGACAAGTTGCTACAATCGCAACAAAAAAAGAATTCCTCTCGTACGGTATCCTTGCACTTCCAAAGCAACAAAAAACACACTGCGGAAAAAAAAAAAAAAAAAAAAAAAAAGAGGGGGGAGGGGACAGTCCTATATTTCCCGTTCTACTGGGCCAATTGAAATTCAAATTTCAATTTCAAATTCAAAATTCGGAATTCACAATTCAACGAAATTCAAATTTCGTTTTTCAGCTGTCGAAAGCGCGACTTGATAATTAGATTCATATATAGCATTGTTCTAACATAGGTATTTTGACACAAAAATCGGACTTTTTCTGAAATAACATACTTTTTTCCATATTTCGATTCTACGATTAAAATGATGCCTAAATATTAAATTTTGTAAAATTTGGTGCGAAATATAAGGAGAAATTCATAAATTTATCTTGGCATATTTTTTCAGTTTGTCCAAAGAATAATTCATTTGGCGATCTTCTTAATATAGGGCAACCCATTTTCCTTTACCTTCCAATGTGCATGAGCGGAAAAAAAGACACAGCGTTCAGCGTTCCTACTTTCAAATAATGTTAGCAAAGTGTCTAAGCCATATTTGATGTTTTATCGCTTTCAGCAAATATGCCAAATTTCAAAACGCGCCATATATATGAATTCCCGTATTCGGAAATTTTGAATAAAAAATTGTAATTTTTTGAAGGTATTCTTAGAAATACATCTACTTTAAGATGATGGTAAAAATTTTATAGATAATAATTCAAAATTGTTTCGAAAAATTATTTAAAAATACAGCTTTAAATAATCTAAAAATGTCGAATTTTATTTGGATGACTAAATTTCGAATTGAAGAAAGATCAAATAAATTCATAATTAATAAAAAAGAGAATTTAAAATATATACCAAACTCAATTAACATTGGGAGCTAAAATTTTAGCGCTAATTTTAAAAACTACTCTTACGTTCTTACAAAACTTGATTGGGATTTGGCGTAGAATCGAAATTGGAAAAAATGCATATCCTTTCAGAAAGATTCGATTATGTGTCAAATACTATATTAGAACAATGCTATATATAAATCTAATACATATCCTAAGTCTCGCTTTCGAGACATGAAAAACACAAGTTTAATTTCGTCAATCGGTCCAGTAGAACGGGAGATATAGAACTGCCCGACCTTTTTTTTTCTGCGCAGTGTGCGTTTAACTTTGATGTATTTCTTAATTTGACTTAAAATAAAAAATCGTGGTTTTCATTTGAATTAATCTTGTAATTATGTTACGGTCACTGCTCTGGATTTAAAGCTTTTTACTTTTTCTCCGTGCAAATGCGTTAGGTGCGTTTGTTACAGAATACACAATACTGATTTCAAATATGATATTTATTTTTTGCTTTGGCATAAGAGTTTTAATTGACCCTTGTAAAATCTTTGAATTTGCGACTTTTTATACACAGTTTTAACAAACAATCTATTGAGATTTAATTCTTATAAAGTTAAGATAAATAAACCTTCCCTTGCCCCGACATATTTTACTCACTAGGCGGAGTATTTCCTCTTATAACGAGTTTTTTGCTGCTCAGTTATTTTATTTGCTTAAAAATAAAAGTATTTGATGAAACCTAGCTGCAGACCTGTCTCTGCTTTGGAAAAACAGGGATTCCTCTAATGTTTTTGCGTGAAAAAATTAATAAAGGAAATTCAAAATGTCATTCAAGCCTACCATGTTGCAACAAATAGGTTAATTTTAATTTCTAAATTTATACGAAAATTTGGTATTCTTTAATAAGAAAGGCATGAATTCTCTTTCTTGAACAAATTTTAATGACACTTTTCTATCATTTTTTTTTTTTGTAATTTGTATTTAGTAACATCTATAATTTATAAATTTAGTAACACTTGTATTTTTAAGAATAAATATCTTTTAACTAATACAAGGTATTTTCTCCCTCTTTCCAGCGTGCCTTCGTAGTGCAACGGTAGCATACTCGGTGCGTATTCGAGAGATCCAGGTTCGAGTCCTGGAAAGGGCATTGCTTACTTTTCAAGTATCCTGCTTAAAAAAAAAATAATAATAATAAAATAATAATAATAATAATAATAATGACTCTACAGTGGGACCCGAAGAAAGAGGTGGTGGACGGTAATTCGTCACCATCAGGATTTGGCGATTCGGTCCTCTTATCCCCCGTCGTCCTTTAAAAAGGGGGGAGTATATAATGTATTTTCTCCCTCCTTTCCGCATGTCTTCGTGGTGTAATTGCAAGCATTCTTGACGCGTACTCAAGAGGTCCAGGGTTCGAGTCCCAGTGAGAGAATTACATATTTTTCCCATCTTCTGCTTCAAAATAACTTAACAACTCTACAATGGCCCCTAAACTAAAAAGACAGTGAATGATAATTTGTCACCACCAGGATTTGGCGACTGGGTCCCCTCATCCCCAGTTGCCCTTTGGAAAGGGGAGTATATAATGTACTTTTTTCCTCCTTCCAGCATGTCTTCGTGGTGTAACAGTAGCACACTCGGCACGTACTCGAAGAGGTCCAGGTTTGAGTTCCGGCGAGGGCATTGATAATTTTTCTCGTCTCCAGTATCAAAAAACCTAATGTCTCTACAGTCTTATTATGACCTGCTTTTCATACTTTGTCTAAAGTGCATTTCTCATTCTATAGAATGCTTAGGTATGGTAAAGTGCATAATAATATAGGTAAAGTATATAATCTGTATATAATATATAAAAGGAAGAGCCTGTCTCTGTGTGTGTGTGTGCGTCTTTCGTTCGTGCTGCGCGTAAGTTGATAGACCCAGGCCTACGAAAACTGGTACGTAGGTGCAAATGGCATGCAGAGCCATTGTTGTTGATATATCACTGTTGCCATTGTTGCTGATATCAGCACTGTTGTCACTCGGAAAAATGAGGGCCGATAATTCTGTGCAGTTTTTAAATTTAATGTTTTTGGATACTGGACGTTTGTCCAGAGAAGGCAAGGGGAAGTGACTAATTTATTTATTTAGGATAATTAATAATTGTATTAAGGGATATTGCTTATTTCATTGTGTATTTTTTATATGTAATACATTTTTATCGATTTTTTTATGTTGCTTTTGATAACGTTGTTCTGCAGAGTATAAATCTGTGTGGTTTTTAAATTTAATGATCTCTTTTGTATCCTGTGTCCATTGCTGCTAAGGATAATACTCATAAAACGTGAAACCTGTAAGCTGAAAGGGTCATATTCCTCAAATTATTTAAAATAATAAAAAGAATTATCAATTATTTCACGTCCTTAATTACTTATGCGATGTATTATAAATCCCATTCTATGTCGCTTCTCGACTTAAAAATTTATTTAGATTTATTTAGATCTTTGAAATTTGAACCATGTTTTCTTTTTAACCTGATTGTCACAGTGTAGGTTTTGCATGCAGAAAGGTTTCCTTTTTAAACGCAGTTTTATATTTCAGGGTGCCAGCCAGTGTGGACCGTCCATTCCAAAAGGTCTTCTGGCCCTGTCGCATTCACTACTCATTACAACCAGCAATTACATAGTTCCACTGGTGGTGATGTCCTTTTGCTACTCTAAAATATTTCGAGAAATCCACATACACATGCAGAGAATCAGGAAGACTTCTAATATAGACCTCGAGAATTCGGTGGCTCAACAAAAGAAAGTTGCCACTACACTCTTTCTGGTACTCGCATGCTTTCTACTCTGTTGGACACCTTTTGTCCTTTATTCGAATGCAGCAGCTCTTATTAAAGATAAGAGTAAAATTCCACCCATACTAAATCCACTAGTAAGTATATTATTGAATTTTTTTCCATATATTTAAAAATAAAGAGTAAACTCTCCTAAATGTGTCAACCCATATGTGCTTTTATTACACTTGGTATTGTTACGAATTTGGTATTTAAAAAGCTAACGTTAGTTCAATTATAAATTAAATGGTTTTATTTCTCGCGCAGTGCAGCGCGTGACGAATATTAAAAGAAAGCTAAGCCGGAAAATTGAAAATACAAGAGCGCGCGTGCATTAAATAATAAATATCTCTTTTGATTTCGAGAAAGTACTGGAAAATTCTAGCGCGTGATTTTAAAATCTTATAAAAGGAGGAAAAACCTCTCAGTTTGTAGTAGTTGCTTAGTTTGTTGTTGTTTAGAAAACTGCTCTTGTTGATTGTAGCGAATTCGCGGATTAGCGTTCTTAGCTGTTTTGAATTCCGTTCTATTGGACATTTGAGTAGTTAAAAGAAACTACTGTGAGATATTGTAATACTGCATGATAATTTGAGAAAATTTAAGCATTTTTGTTGTGATAATAATAATTTTTGTTCATTTTTCATCGGACTTGTGCATTCATTTCATAACGAACCCGTACGCACGCAACAATTTTTGGTGTCAAGTGGGATTTGAATGCCAATCAACAAGAGCGATGGAAGAGCATTAAGACAGTTGATATCATTTGCTGCTTTAAAGAAATGAAAAGGAGCTGGAAAAAGCACAATCCGAGAAGATGATATGAAATCTGGGAAAGATGGAAGAATCCAAAGGAATGGAATCCGTTAAAAAGGAAATGGAAGCCGTCACGAAAAGTGGGAAGCTGTTCAGTAACTTTTAAAGAGATATAAAAGCTGTACAAGAAAATGAAGCTCAAGACGAAATGAAAAGAGAAATAACCTGCATAATAGAAAGTAAATTTGAGGCTATGGAAGACAGAATAAGAAGCTGTTGAAAATAAAGTCGGGCAAATTGAAGAAAGGTTCTTTCTGTCAAAGATGAAATAGAAGATAGAGTGTCGGCTGTGAGCAACGATCGAAGGAAGAGTTTCGGCCGCCAACAACAAATTGAAGAGAGAGTTTCTGCAGTTGCCAAAGAAATGGAAACTTTAAAAAATTCGTAGCGACGGCAGGGAGCAAGAGTGATGATTTTAAATTCTTACCGATGCCTGCTCGTCCATTCTGAAGCTATCCACATATGATGGGAAGACATCCTGGCAAGGTGTATAAGACCCAGTTTTCTATCGTGCGGATGCGAAATGGATGGGATTCCCAAGCTAAGGCCTGTCATCTCGCCGCTTCTCTGAGAGCAGACGCAGCGGATATCCTGCAGACGCTTCCCGAAATCAAAGGCTAGATTTCGAAGCTCGTCCGGCGCCTTGGAGCTGCGCTTTCGGCGAGAAATATTTAAAGACTACTACAGCAGGCTCCAATTAAAATCCCGTCAACAGAAGCTACCGAAACCTTCAGGAGCTCGCCGGGATGTTGAAAAGGCTGTCCCATCACGCCTTTTCGGATTGCCCGACAGAAACAAGGGAAATCCTGTCCTGCAATACTTTATCGACGGCATCCGGACTGAAATACAGAAAGCTCTGCGAATGGCGATGGTAAAAGATAAAAGTGCTTAGTGTACGCCATGAATTTTTGAGGCAGCCCAGCAAGCCACTCGTCGAGACCGCCACCCATCAGAGCTGCTCATGTCCAGAGCCAAGGGATCAAGTCCTGCTCGTCTTGACGATATAACCAGACAACTGATGACTTAAGAAGAATATCGTGAAAGAAAAACCGACCTTAAAATGTTGGAACTGCGGTGCTGAGGACACATAGACGAAACTGCAATACCCAGGGTAGGATGTAAGACCGCTCTAACAAGCAGCAGAAACTAATTAGTGGCCATCAGCGGGTCGGAGGTTTGCCAATAATGAAAAAGCCCCAGTTTAAAGCGCTTCAGATTTCTGCAGTGAGAGGCGGCACTAATGGACTTTTCATAATAGGACATATTAATGGAGTTCCCCTGCATAGACTATAGATACAGGAGCCCAACGTTACCATCATCCGAAAAGATTTGGCTCAACAACTGGGAAACAAACTTATCTGACGCCGCCCTGCGTTACCCTCCAGACTGTGTCCGGTGGAAGATCGACATCGACGGAAAAGTAAATGTTAACATCACGTTGGAAGTGCCGCTTACCATCACACCGGCATATGTAGCAGAAATCACTGATTTTGCATACTCGGATTGGACTTTCTAAGGAATACATTTTTCCTTGGACTTTAAAAATAATGAATTGCATTCGAGATCTGAGGACATAGCGTTATTTGAGTTAATGATGAAGAAGTTAAATCTGTCCATAAAATCATACACAAGACAATATCACAATACGGCAAGAACAGAAATTTTACTTCCTGGATCCATAGCCGAAAACAGAAATTTCCGCTACGGCATCATAGAATATCCCAATAACTGTAATAGCCCAAAAGGAGTACTAGTAGCCTCAACTCGTCGACTATCCAGAACGGTTATCCCGGTGAGAGTCGCCAATGTAACTGAGGGAGAGTTATTAAGAAGGTGAAGTGGTTGCAGATGTACTCAGTAACCAGCCGTTGAAAGAAAGAGTAACATCCAAGAATCCGTGTCCTCAGAAAGATTACATCGGAGTTATTCAGAATGCGCAATTAAACGATGAAGAGAAGAATGCTGCCGATCGCGTCATTAAAGATCTTCAAGTTGTTTTCTCCCGCTCGTCTTCTGACGTGGGTCGAACTAGTTTGACACAACATAGAATCGATACCGGCGATCATCCCCCGATCAAGCAACATCCAAGACGTCTACCGTTTGCTAAACAGGAAGAGGTGCGAACACTGTTAAAAGATATGGAAGAAGGCGATGTCATCGAGCCTTCAGCAAGTCCATGGGCATCTCCCATCGTTCTATCAGAAAGAAAGACGGCTCAACAAGATTTTGCGTGACTATCGCCGGTTGAATGAGGTTACGAAAAGAAAGACAAGTTACCCTCTTCCTAGAATTGACGACATCTAGACACTCTTTCTGGAAGCAAGTGGTTCTCAACACTTGATTTAAGAGTGGGTATTGGCAGGTAGAAATACAGCCTGAAGACCGAGAAAGGACGCCATTTACTACGGGACAAGGGCTTTGGTAATTCAAGGTGATGCCGTTTGGACTGAGTAATGCGCCGGCAACATTCGAACGTCTTATGGAGACTGTTTTAAAAGGCCTTTCCTACGAAGCCTGCCTGATATACCTGGACGACATCATCATTGTCGGAAAGAGTTTTGAAAAAAATTTAGAAAATCTTAGGAAGGTACTTCAGAAACTGAAAGAAGCCGATCTGAAGCTGAGTCCCGCTAAATGCAAATTGTTCCGAAAGGAAGTGACTTACCTGGGACATGTCATCTCTGCAGAAGGTGTGCGCACGGATCCTGAAAAGTATCAGCGGTTAAATCCTGGAAACGTCCCGAAAATTCCATCAGTGAGAAGCTTCCTAGGGCTTTGCACCTACTATAGGAGATTCGTGAAGGACTTTTCTGCTTCCATCGCAAGACCCCCTCACAAGCTGACAGAGAGCAACCAAAAGTTCTTGTGACAAAGAATGCGAGGATGCATTTAACAACTTAAAGGAAGGCTTTAACATCTGCTCCAATCCTGACGTATCCTCAGCTCGACCGACCAGTTATTCTCGACACGACGCGAGCAATGAAAGTGTCGGTGCGGTTTTGTCCGCAAGAAATAGACGGCCAAGAACGTGTAGTAGCGTACTGGAGCAAGTGCCTGTCTAAACCGGAGAGGAATTATGTGTCACCAGGAAAGAGTTGCTCGCCATAGTCAAAGCTGTAGAACATTCCATCACTATCTATACGGCAGAAAATTCCTGCTCCGCACGATCATGCCTTCATTGACTGGCTTTTAAATTTCAAAATCCTGAGGGTCAAATAGCCAGGTGGATACAGAGACTCCAAGAATATGACATCACTATCCGTCATCGTAAGGGATCATCACACGGAAACGCCGACGCCCTGTCTAGAAGACATTGCCAGAAAACTGCCGATATTGTTCCAGGGTGGAAGCGAAATACGAGCTGCTGACTCCGGTCGCAAGACAAATTACAAACATCAACATCGCTGATCGAGAACCGTGGAGTGATGATGAAGTCAGGAAAGACCAGCTGGAAGACCGCGACATTAAACCATACTTGATTTAATGAGTCATCAAACAGAAACCTACATGGCAGGACATTTCTATCTGTAGTCCTACAACCAAAACAATATTGGGCACTCTGGGATTCACTTCACATTCATTCGAAACGCGTCTTATACCGGAAATTCGAGTCGGATGATGGGAAGACGTTCCGATGGCACTGATACTTCCAGATCCCGGATTCCTGATGTCCTTTAAGAAACTACATAACAGCCCTACAGGAGGTCACTTTGGAATAATGAAGACCTTACAGAGAGTTCGTGAGCGCTTTTACTGGAATAATGCAAAGGTGACGTGGCAAGTGGTGCCGATCTTGCGATGCCTGTGCAGGTCGGAAAGGACCGAAGGAACGCAGCCGAGGCAAACTGCAACGTTACAACGTAGGTGCGCCTTTGAACGTATCGCCTTTGACATCTTGGGACCTCTGCCACGAACTGCTGATGGAACATACATACTCGTTGTCATTGATTACTTCACCAAGTGGCCTGAAGCGTATCCTATTCCTGATCAAGAGGCTGTTACAGTACTGAGGTGTGATACGCACTGGATTTCCAGGTTCGGGGTGCCTCTTCAGTTCATTCCGATCAGGGAGGAATTTTACCTCGGTAGTAATCAAAGAACTATGCAAACTACTCGGCATTGACAAACCCAAACGACGCCATTACATCCCCAGTCGGGACGGCATGGTAGAGAGGTTCAATCGAACCATCCTTAATAACCTCTCATTAGTGGTTTCCAGAACCAGCAGGACTGGGACAGAAATTACCACTGTTTTTACTGGCTTACCGCAGTGCTGTCCACGAGA